TGAACATTTCTTTGGGTTGCTAATACATCTTCTGTAATGAGAATAGAGAAAGGTGGAATGTAGACAATCATATTCTGAACATTTGTACTGCCATAGAGATTGGAAATTTAAGGTTTTCTATAACTCTTGAAAATTTTATTCAGCCCCAAAATTTCAGGAGCTTTTCAATCATTTCTCAGTTTTTTTTTTTACCCAGGTTTCTTGTCTTCATGATTGTGGAGACATATGTTATACTCAGGACAATGATGTTCATTTAGTGTATAGCTATCTGATGCAAATTTTAAAATCTCTTCAGTTTTTAAAAGTCAAGATGTAGGGATAGAAAAACAGTCATTAGCTGACTGTTCAATATCTTGTTTAAGCAGTAGAGAAATATAGGGAGCACATTTAATCAAATCAGGCATTTACATAATTATGACTTCCCTCCATTAGAATTTTTGCATTCTGTTAGCAAATTTGGCTTTTGCTAACATGATGCAAAAGTTGTTAATGAGTCTCATTGTATTAGCAACTTTCTATCACATTAACAAAATTAAATTTGCTAATAGAATATGACAGTCACTAACATAAGATTAGTGCAAAGAGACCAAAATCTCAGTAGGCCATCAAAAGGTAATGATCAACATGTAAACAATGCCTTGTTTGTTTTTCCCTCTTTGTTAACTATAATGTGAATGTGTGTGCAATGTCACTCCCATTCGCATCTATAAAAGGCTCCCTAGGAGGGTCTTGTTTTACACAACACTACTGCAAGCACAACACAATGATTAATTTTGGGTAGAAAATTATGAACCATCAACTTTCCTCATTAGAAGAGAAGTAACTCATTCAACAAGATGAATTGATAAAAGCATCAAGCAAAATATGTGTTCTTAAAGTCAGATATTTACTGTGAAAATAAGGTAGTGTGTTCTTAGGTAATTATTTTAAAAGTATAATTACTAAGCAACTTCATAAGCAAGACATCAAGACAGTTAAAAAGTTTATAATCAGGAGAAAAACCTCAGAAAATCTGAGGTTTTTAGTTTTCCCCAGAGTTACAACAATGTTGATTTCTTCAATTCTCTGCCACTCTAATAACTTGGAAACCTGAGAGACATAGTACTCTAAAGCAAAACTAAATCATAGTTCTAGTTCAAAGATTTTGAGTTAATTTGCCATCAGTAGAATATTGGTTACCAACTAAAAAGAATATCTAATATAATTTTTAATGGAAACATAATTGAGACAGGGATATTGAATTCAAATATTATCTCTAAACCTACCTTGGACAACCCCTCCCCCAAATATGGTGACATTTATCCATGGTTAAGGTATCAGGCTAGAAACCAGGAGACTGTGAGTTCTAGTTCCATCTTAGGTGGAAAGCCAGTTGGGTGACCTTAGCCCAGTAACTCTCTCTCCATCCTTGGAAGAAGACAATGACAAACCACTTCCAAAAACTGGAAGTCAGGAGTCAAAACTGACTTGAAAGAACAAACCACAACCACGACCAAAGATCTTACAGATATGAGTGCCTCCTAGTGAATCACCTCCTATGGATCTGGAATGTCTACATGTATGAAAAAAATAGCCCCTCTATGCTACATTGTTCTAATAATAATGCTGTTAATATTCCTTTTATTTTCCTTCCAGAGGACATACTTCTTCATGCTAGGTAATCCTCGCTTAGTGACTGCAATTGGGACCAGCAACTCGGTGATTAAGCAAAGCGGTGGCTAAGTGAAAAATCACATGACCATGACTGTGCTTACGAGTCTACTTCAGCTTTCCTCATCAGAAGCATATGACCCCAAACAGCCGGGCGAGCCCAAATGGTGGGGAAGGTTTCTGGAATTTGACTCACAAGGAAGCCAAGTAAAAAGGCAAATCTTATAACCCTTTTTCCTTACTCCCCTGCCCTTTGGAATGCTTATCTGGCGCTGGGATAATTAGCAAGAAGAAAATTAATGTTTATATTTACATTCATTGGAGAGGAATGGATTACAAGGGAATAAGCAGGCACACAATGGGGAATACGTATCAAAAGGAAAGTGCTAGTGCTGGCTGTTTGCACAGTGCACTCACAGCTCCCAGTGTTGCTAAGGAGGCAAACAAAAGCGAAAGGTGTGAAACTGATTAAAGCCTTGTCAGTTACAGGCAGCAGCTGCTAGCAGGCTAATTAAGGCCACAGAGCTGAGCGTCTGATCTTGCAGTTAGCACTTTTTAGGGACCCTCTGCAGTGTGGAGAACAGCAGCTCAGGAAGAGATGGCTTGTTTAGGCAATCTCTCCACGGGGGGGGGGGGGGAAAAAAAAAACAGCGACAAAGTGTGTATAAAAATGATTTAAAGGTGAAAA